ATATATATATATATATATATATATATATATATATATATATTGAAATATTGACAAACAAATGATAATCTTATTATTAAATTTATTAAAAAATTTGATTTAAAAATAAATTAATTAATTTTTTTTAAATTATGATAGGTCCATCCGATCAATTCACACTTTAACGGGACAGATCAAGGTCTACAACCCATCATGTCCGTAGTGGGACAATATTCCCACTCCACTCCATTTTTTGTGAGGCAAAGATAGGACAAGTCAAAATAAGACAGATTTATCCATTTTGTCGGGTATAATTTATAAATACAATTTATTATACATCTAACAATTCAGGTGTTTTAATTATAAATGCAATTTATTATACGTCTAACGTTTTAGGTGTTTTAATGTAAAAGACGTTAACTTATAGCTAACTAGCGTAAATTTACATCAACGGGACAAATTGAAAGGAGTATGCTTTAAGAGCAGTTTTCGTCGTTCTAACCAATGCATTCAAGTTCCCGTTACTTGGTTTTAGAATTGTGATCGGGTACTCTACCAAATCAAGAAATTCTTGGATTGGTTGCTTTTAAGAGTGTAGCTCTTCCCACAGCACGTATCCATCCCTTTCCATGACGACAATTAGTCCCTTGCTTTCATTTTAATATTGACTTGACGTAAACTTTGTGATAGTCTATCACAAAATGAAGATGAATATCCTTCGAATGTTTGTGATGATTCACCACTTCCAACCCTCGCAACAACATCAGTGTATATAAATATAATACAAAAATAAATAATAAGAATATAAGAAATTTTCGTGATTAAATCAAAATGATATACATTTACAGATATATTAAATAATAATTTTTATTCATATAATTAAATTTACAATTAATTACATAAGTATTTATAATAAAAATATAAATAAATGGATCGGTTCAATAATCCTTAAACTCCGCATATCTTAAAAACCTAATAATTATTCCCTCTTTCTTGGGCCAATAGTGGAAGTCTTTCAAGCAAAAGAAAAATGAAAATGCCTCCTAAAAAAACCTCCATCCCAGGACTAACTCCGAAAGTGTTCTAGCATGCAGAAGCACAAAATGAGCACCGTAGTTCGCAAATAGGCTAAAAAACCAAAGTTTATCAATCACATTTGACATGATAATTCTTTGAAGGAAGTTTCGAACCTTGCGGCACAACACTCTAACCACAAAGTTTCACAACCTAATCTAAAATACTACGACAACATTTATCACACATAACAATAATAAGGGAAAAAATTATTTGAAAACCCAATTTTATAAATATCCTATTCACAATCTTAAAATATTATTTTTTTTATTGATTGATAGACAAAATAAAATAAAATACATAAAAATAATAATATAAAAATTTAAAAATAATTGTTGAATAGGTATTTTTATCTTTTGTGGTGTCAAAATATCAGAACTATCTGAGAATGTTCACGGATATCTATATCTTCGTATTTAATGTTATCTTATGAATAACATTTAAAAATATGTTTTTTGTTGTGGTTATATGCCACCTAGGGCCTTAACTTTTTATATTTTCTTTAATTTAGCATATGCTTATTTTATTTATGCTATTGTTGTGAATATGATTAAATTAAATAAAGAAAGGCTCCAAAAATTTAATGCAATGTCATCATAATAATACATTTTTTTGTTGTAAAGAAAAATAATAGGTTTTATTTTGCTTAATATGCAGTTTTGAATTTTACTATCATTTAATCCATTCTTACACTATTTAATACAAGACTTTTTTTTATTATTATTATTACATTTAAAAGTGTCATTTACATATTATAAATCTTATTTATTACATGCAATAATATTTGTTAAGAAAAGGTCTATATTTTATTAACATGTATTATCATTCTTGTATTATTAGTACATTTGATCCCTCAAATGGTCTTATATAAGATTCATATAAATTTCTTTAGTAAGATAATATCTTTGTACACAAAATTGTCATTATTGTATTATTGGTGTGCATTCAATATTAATTATCAAAGTTGTAAAATTTATGATTTTAAAAGAATTTTAATAGATATTAAAAATTACTAAAACTTTGATAATATATATCAATATAAATATTTTAATATTTTTTAATATGATCAATGATATAAATATTTTTATATTGATATTTTTTTCAATATTATTTTGGTATGAACACATATGATACAAATATTATAATATTATTATTATTATTATTATTATTCAATATTATCTTATTAAGATAAAAAAAAACTATATAAGTATTTATTAGATATTATTTAATATTGTTAAGATATTGTTAGATATTAACCATAATATCAAACAATATCTTCTGTTTATTTTGTTACTTTCAGTTACTCTTTTAGTTGTATCTCTCTACTATAAATAGACTACCCTATGTGTGATTTATACACAAGGGAGATTAATCCCAAACTCTATTTCTTCTATATTCAACATGGCGTCAGGCCATGTTAGATAAACTAAGTGCTCTCATAATAGTGGAACTTGGGAATTGGTCTCGTTACCGTCTGGGAAATCTGTTGTTGGTTGCAGGTGGGTGTTTGCTATCAAAGTTGGACCTGATGGTACTATTGATCGCCTCAAAGCTCGTCTTGTGGCCAAAGGTTATACTCAAATTTTTGGGTTGGATTATGGAGATACCTTTTCCCCTGTGGCAAAGATGACTTCTGTTCGTTTATTTATCGCCATGGCCGCTCTTCAACAATGACCTCTTTATCAACTAGATGTTAAAAATGATTTCCTCAATGGTGATTTGCAAGAAGAAATCTATATGGAGCAACCTCCTGGGTTTGTTGCTCAGGGGGAGTCTTCTGCGATGGTATGTCGTCTTCGCAAATCCCTATATGGCCTAAAACAGTCTCCTAGGGCCTGGTTTGGAAAGTTTAGCAAGGTTGTTCAACAATTTGGTATGACTCGGTGTGAAGCAGATCACTCTGTCTTTTATCGACACTCAAGTGTTGGATGTGTTTACTTGATAGTATATGTTGATGACATCGTTCTTACAGGTAGTGACAACCATGACATCTCTCAGTTGAAACAACATCTCTGTCACCATTTTCAGACCAAAGATCTTGGCAAACTTAGATATTTCTTGGGTATTGAGGTGGCACAGTCCAATGATGGTATTGTTATATCTCAGAGGAAGTATACCATGGATATTTTAGAGGAAACTGGGTTGATGAATTCAAAGTCTGTTGATACGCCCATGGATCCCAATACTAAACTTTTACCAAATCAGGGGGAGCTTATACCTGATCCTGAGCAGTATAGAAGATTGGTTGGAAAATTGAATTATCTTACAGTTACTCGTCGTGACATTTCCTTTGCAGTCAGTGTGGTAAGCCAATTTCTTAATTCCCCATGTGAAGATCATTGGAATGCGGTCATTCGTATCTTAAAGTATATTAAAAGGATCTCCTGGAAAAGGATTGTTATATGATTCTAATAACCATACAAGAGTTGTTTGCTACTCAGATGCTGATTGGGCAGGATCTCTTTCGGATAGAAGATCTACATCTGGATATTGTGTCTCCATTGGTGGTAACTTGGTTTCATGGAAAAGTAAGAAACAAAGTGTTATGGCAAGATCTAGTGCAGAAGCAGAATATAGAGTTATGGCCTCAGCTGCTTGTGAACTTATTTGGCTCAAGTAATTGCTTAGAGAGTTACAATTTGGAGATGTCACTTGTGTGTGACAATCAGGCTGCTCTTCATATTAGTTCTAATCCTGTCTTTCATGAGAGGACCAAACACATTGAGATTGATCTGTCATTTCATTCGAGAAAAGATTATGTATGGAGACATCAAGATCGAGTTTGTTAACTCAAGTGATCAGTTAGCGAGATATTTTTACTAAATCTTTACTGGGTCCTAGAATTGATTATATTTGTAACAAGCTTGACACATACGATTTGTATGCTCCAAGCTTGAGGGGAGTGTTAGATATTATTTAGATATTATTTAATATTTTAAGATATTGTTATATATTAACCATAATATCAAACAATATCTTCTGTTCATTCTGTTACTTTCGATTACTCTTTTAGTTTTATCTCTCTACTATAGATAGATTACCCTATGTGTGATTTATACACAAGGGAGATTAATCTCAAACTCTATTTCTTCTATATTCAACAGGTATTAAATATTAATATTTTTTTCAATATTTTCTTAATGATGGTCAAAGATATATAATTAGTGTGAACAACCATCTCAAAAAAATTATACTGTTTACTCATAATAATCAAGTTATAAATCTTATTCGTATAAATAAATTGGATATATTATTTCAAATAAATAAATAAATTTAAGATAAACAAATTATTCTTCTTACTTCGGATATACAAATTACACATCTTATTCAAAATAAAAAAATTATATATTTTACTCAAGATAAAATAAATTATATATCTTGTATGAATGAATTATACATCTTATTCTTATCATCAACTTATACACTTTGGATAAACAAATTGGGTTAAACAAATTATACATTTCTCTCGGAGTCAAATGATTTATAACTTGTTTAATTTTATATCATGAGATGAAAGCTTGTGTCGTTGATGTTCAACCACAATTATAACAAAGCTATTAAACTATTATATGCAACTATAAAAACGGACAAATCCATGTCTACTTCAATGTGAAAATTGATATTTTTACACAATTTGACGTCAGTTCAAAGCCGCAAATATTTATAATTGTTGGCCAATAGTACCAGCAGGCATTCCCAAAAATTAAATTGATGAAATAATTGATGTTGGGTCCTGCAGGGGTGTCAAGCATCATGCAAAGTCTATGCAATTTTAATAAAACATTTAACACCTGTGCAAATCAAAACATCATTCTGTCACAATTGCTGCATACATGACGAGAAAACCTCCTAAAGTAACATGAGAAAACTCTATTATGTAAGAGGTTATTTCCAGTAAACAATTTGTTTAACATGTTGGATCATGGAAAAGTAAACCATCCTCTTGACCTTCAGCCGAATGTTGCAATAAGGAAGGATTTATAAATGCTCATGAACTTGGCCACAAATGCTGCCAATGTAAACAAATTAAAACACAAAGTGGTCAGCAAGCAATTTTTTTAGGCCAATTGGTCCAGAATCTATATTCACTTTGTAATTGTATAAAGATATTGATCTAACAAATAGATTTATTGAGTTCACAAAATAAATATAATATAAACAGGGCCTATAAAATAATTCACAATGGGCAACCATAAGATGCAACTGTCAATCTGACTAACTATACTCAATCAGTCAAAATACCTTCAATGTGAAAGATCGACTTCTGTCCAAGACGCATCCGATGTTCCTGATTGAATGAAGGGAAAAATCAGAAACCTCGAAAAATAAGAGGTGAAAATGGCTAGGCAATTTCTCTTTTCAGACCTCAGCCATTAATATACCAATAACTAATTCCAAGCAAATTGACTATAAAACTACAATGTGGAGGAAACGTAGATGACTGGTTATACCAACGTACGTTAGAACCATAAAGGAGAATCAGTTAATTAGGAAAAATAAATATAGCAGCTTGAAATTCCTATAGAAGACATCACAATACCAATTCCAGGTGCTATGAAAAATAATACTGATAAAGCACTTACATAATATGCAGCCCAATGACATACTTCATGCTTTAGTTCTGCATCCAGTTTCCTCAATAGCTCACGAAGAAGCCTCTGAGCCAACAAATATAACATCAATGTCAAGTAAAATAATTGGAAAACTAAAGAGTGACATTATAGAGGAACATGTTTACCTTCAAAATGATCTCCGGAGGAATGCAATTGATTAGCAGGTCATAGAGCTTTCCTCGAACTTGAAACAACCTAAGGTAGACGAGACAGGGAGAGAAGAAATAGGCATTGCACACCACATAAGTCACTATGGTAAACATATTTGTTTACTAATCAAGTCAATAGGTGATACACGAACCTGACAAGTTACAATGTTTAATAGAACATTCAATTTATTCATGAAAGAACAAAGTAAATTGTATTAAAATCAAACCTTTTGGGGCTCTGTTCCTTCATTATGTCAGATGCAATTTCAGAGATATATTCTTCCCAGTCCATTGGAGAAATTTCTTGTTTGCTAGTGAAAGGATACCTGAAAGTATAATATGTGACAATATGTGAAAAACATAGCTATCTGTAGTTGACAAATTGTCCCATAAAAGCAAAGCTTTGAAAAGGAGATGAACATTTGTAGTTATGATCCACTAATAATAGGAAGCTTAGGGAACTTACTGTTGGACCCGACAAGTCTCAAATGACAATATGGCCCTCCTTAAATTCCGATTTGATTTCTCTGCAATGCGAGCAGCAAAACCAGGAGGAAGTTGCAGCCCTTCTTTCTTACCAATGAGTTCTAAAACTTCAACAATCTGTCATATAGATTTCCAAAATTCAATACAGAGAAATATTCAATTCAGAGAATGGGTATGTTGAAAAGATCACTACATATTATAAATATAATAATGTCCATTGAAATGGAATATTATGTTGGATTCCAATATCTTACATACTAATGATAAACCTTGGATGCCATTGAAATGACTTTGGCCAACATAGTCAGAATCGCATTCGCATTCCAACTCATGGAATCACCCAATTTTACATTTTCCCATTGCGAGTTCGCCATGCTCAGAATCACAAATAAGCAGCATTGGTAGACTCGTAGTGTAAATCATTAAAACGATGGAAACAGAGAGTTTTCCAGTGTGCCTGGATTATGGTTTTTTGTGCCAACTTTCAGCAATGGGTCAGTTCTCTTCCTTTTCATTTTGGGATTTTGTAAACCTAAGCCCATAGAACCCAAGCTCCGAAACAAACTTTTCTATAACCCCAATACTAATAATAGAGAAACTACTTTTCTTTAACCCAAGCCCCAAAACAAACTTTTCACTTGGCACTACTACATTACTTTCGGTTGCTTTGTCATTTATGACTTGTGTTGAGTTTTGTATGCAGTTTGTTAAGGTTCCAACATAAAATCAATTGGCAATATGTGGAATAACCTAACATGTATTTAAACCATACCAAATGACATGAGGTAGGCGATGTGGGACTTTCAACACAGTTTACTCATTGACTTTGATATGTTCATTAATCTATGATTATAAATTTAAGCTTAATTAATTATTTTGTGTTACAGGAGTTTTTCTTCTGTTAATTATGTTGTTATATATATATATATATATAAACTCCTGTTAATTATGTTGTTATATATATATATATATATATGCTGTAGAATCTTAGTTTCGAGTTCCGATTTAACGATTATACATCCCCTTTACAAGTCTGAGTTCTCCAGTTTAACTACCTTGCCTTCAGCATACCGATGCAGATCACGAGTTTTGGCAAAAAATCGCCAAGAGGCCTTCTTTTGTTTTCAAAAACAGGTTAGGCCTAAGCATAATGATTAATTGATTACCAAAAAAGGTTTTAGTATGGTTTGAGAATTTAACATTTGTAAATTTATATACGTAGGTTCTATAACATAAAACTCAAACTTCCTGTCCAACTTTCTTAATCAGCATATCATCATATCATATATCTTGAAAAGGAATAATGTCTAAATTATATAACGCACACAATAGCAAAGCATCATTTTTCTACTGGAACTGACTAAAGCAAAAAACACACAAAAGAAGCAGACTCCTTAACCTCCTTTGCCGCCATTGTATATATTGAAAATAAATACCTGTTCTTCAGTTGGTGCATTAATTCGTACATTGAGACATCGAGAGCGGATTGCTTCAGTGACTCTGGAAGAACTATTGCAACATAGAATTAATCTGCAATAAGCACTGTATTTCTCCATCGTTCTGCGGAGAGAGTGTTGAGCTTCTCTAGAAAGTTTGTCAACATCATTGAGCACGAGTACTGATACAGAATAAAATAAAAAAGGTAAATGGAAACGCATGTAGTCCTGCCATTTATTATACAGGCCCAAGGTGCAGAAGTTGCTTAATTGGCACATACAAAGGGGAAAAGAGACAAGAAAATATTAGAGGACTACATTACAAAAGTAAATTAGCCACTATCAAATTTCGCACAAGGTCAACAAGCAAAGAAAACATGTTTCACTAGATAGATAAAAATTGCAAGATAACTTATATACATTGCAAAAGAATCAAAAGTAGAATCGAACTCCAAAATATATGTTACCATGCAAAGGTGCATTTTTTTATTGCTTGAAACAACATTTATATAAGATTGACAACAAAGACTTTCAGTTACCTTTAAATACTTTCTTCCCCTTAGTATCAATGGGTCTATTCTTAGCCATTTCTTTGATTACTTCTTGAACAACGTATCTGTCTTGAAATCCTGCATCACTTGGACTTATTTCAATGTGATTGGCACTTGACAATGTTGTCAGCTCTAAATCAAGAGATCTACTCCCAGCCTGAAACCAATTCTCAAGTACTTCAAAATAAAAACAAGCAACTAAAAGAACACCAATAATTCAGTTTTACTATGCATAAACAAATTATCAGAATACAGTTGAAACTTAATCACAATGATACCAGCATAAATTTGCAAGTTAATGACCCATATATATAGCACATGTGACAGGTATAAAGTCTAAACGAAAAGAACATAAAGAATGTTTGTTTGTTGTTCATCAAAGATACCCACTATTTTCCTATTTTCCAAGTCATGTCACACAGTAGATATATTTATGTCAGCCAGCTCCTCGGTCAGACTACTTTTCACAATAAAACACCTTTTGCTTTTCATAAATACAAAAAAACAATTGTAAAATTATGAATTAGCATTATATTTTGATAACAAGAAAGTTTCTCCGGTACCCTTCTCTTTTCTGTTGATATGGGAAACTCTTAGCTATCGGCAGCCACAAATCACAAAGTGTACCATTAAAATCACAAAAATTCCTATAATAACCTAGGAGGTTTTTTTAATCAGCCACAACATAAAGATGGAAGAAGCTTACATCCACTTTCCACGTCCTATTTTCCACCTTCACCTGCAAAGTTAACAAAGACAATTTCCAGTTTCGAATGAGGGCATACAAAAGAAAATTAAACCAAAAATAAAAAACTAAAAAATAGACCAAAAAAACAATTTTTTTTTCTCCTTTTATCCAGTGACAAGTGAAGCAAAAAATAGAAAAAAGAAAACCTTTTCGGCACTAGGTCCAAACATTTGGCGGAGAAGGGCCATGATTAGGGTTTTCTTGCCAGAGCCAGAAGGGCCATAGAAGAGTAAATGGGGGCAATCTTCTTCCTTCACCTGTGATAAAATAATAACGCAACCGAAACAAAAAAAATTGAAAAAGAAGATAAAAATGCTTAATTGGAAACAAAATGGAGGAGAGAGTACCAATTTCTTGAGATTATGAGCGATCTCAGTGTGGACCATAACATGGTCGAGGACTTTGGGACGATGTTTGTCCACCCACAACATCGTGTAAGGGTTGGTTGGCACTCAGTGTTTCTTCAATTGTTGTCCCTTCTGAGAACTGGAAAGGGCCAGTGCACACTCTGAAGTGGCGGGAAGAGGAGAGATTATATACCCTAGTCCGCTCTTTATTTATTTATTGAGAAATTTTAGTTACCTCTTCTTATTTCCCATCACGCCATTTTAAATGTACATTATTTTAATTTTAATAAACAATATCTCCTTTATATTTTAATTATAAAATCACATTTTCTCTTTTTATTTTATCTAAAAATTATTTTAGATAGAACTCATATATATATATATATATATATATATATATATATATATATATATATATATATAAAGAGTATTGTATTATATAATTAACTTTAAATATAGTCTCGTATTTTAAAGCCCAAAATTGTACCTCCGTAATCATATAAGTATAGTTAATCCAAGATAAAAAGATCTTTTCTCACATAATTTCTCACATAATATATTCTTACCAGCACATTTTATCCTTATTAATCGAGATATCTTTCTTGTAGGTCCTATAGTACAATACCGAAAATTGAGGACTAAATACTAAAAAGATCAAGATACTTTCAAAAAGGTGAGAGTTGTTTGAGAAGGTTGTTGATCTAGTTCGTTTGACTTTGCAAGAACATAATTGTTGTCCATCGTGGGGTTGAATAGAAACACAATGGATGGTGTCCATTAAAAACATTATTAATGCAGAACGACAAAGCTCACCAAAAAAAGAAGATCACACTAGTAAGGCAACCCTTTTAGTTGAACTGAGAAAAGAGTTGGAGGATTTCAAGAGGGAGAGCACGGAAGAGATAATGGCATTAAGGAAGGAGAATGCTCGAACCAAAAGGCGATTGGAGGAGAAAGAGGGCGAGCATGACTCGGGAAGTCCAAGATCATCTAGGATGAGAAAGCAGTCAAGTACTTCTCATCCCCCATCACCCACAAGACGAGTGTAAACCTGTTCAGGAGTGAGTCCTTTAGAGAAAGCCTCAATACCCAGCGCCACCTCTTCGTGGATAGAATCATAGAAGTTAGCTCGAAGGGCTTAACAATCGACCGTTACGACGGGACGACCGATCCTAACGAACACATAGACATATACGTAACCCAAATTAGCCTCTATTCGATCAATGATGTGATTTTATGCATAGTTTTCCTTACCTCGTTGAAGGGAGCGACGTTGAACTGGTTCACAAGATTGCCTCCATACTCAATCGATTGCTTCAAAACCTCAGTAAACAAGTTTGGGACACAGTTCGCCATCAGCCGACCACATCATCTCATGTCAATTGCTCTCGTCAACATAAGACAAGAGCGACAGGAAAGTCTATGGACCTTCATGGAAAGGTTTGGAAGGGTGGCTTTAAAGTCTGGGCCATTTACTGATAGTATGTGCAAGAAACTGGTTGGGGACTTCGATGAACTACGATGATGGGATGCAAAATTCATGCAGTTAGAAGATTTGAGGGAGTATCGCAATAAAGCAAGAGCGAGTCCCCCCAACTTTCCGGCACTCCAAAGAGGAGCAGGGGAAGAAGGCCAACTTCAAAACAAAACAGGGGAGCCTAGAACGCCTCGATTCACTTATTACACCCCATTGACCGCTAATCACGAAGGAGTGTTGGAAGAGGTATTAAGCGCGGAACTTATCCACACCACAAGGTAGGTACCGATCCCTCCTAATGTTGACTCCAACAAGCACTACCGAAGAACTCATACAGGCGAGATACTTACAAAAATTCGTAAAGAGAGATGGTCAGCAGGCATATAGTCGTGACCCTCAAAATAAGGAAGCAGACAATAGTAAGCGGAGAAGAAGCCCAAAGTACGAGGGATCACACAACCAGTTGAGGGGAGTAATTAATAACATAAGCGAAGGGTTCGCGGGAGGAGGTCCCTCCAACGCTGCCAGGAAATGACATTTGAGGACCATTAGGACCGTCAACACTATAGCAGCCCGACGACGCATTATGCCGCCCATTACATTCACAAACAATGATTATCACATCGTGGACCCGATCCAGGATGACCCAATGGTCATAATAGTAGAAGCTGCCAACTTCCCAGTCTACTAGACTTTGATAGATCAAGGGAGCTTGGTTGATATACTCTATAGGAGAACTTTCCAACAGTTTCAACTGGAAGATGACTCCATACTCCCCTACTATGATCAAATAATTGGATTTTCTAAAGAAAGGGTGGATACAAAGGGGTACATCGACCTTTACACTAAGTTTGGTGAGGGAGCCCGAAACTATCGCACTATCAAAATAAGATATTTGGTGGTTTACGCACCTTTTTCGTACAACATCCTCCTTGGACGACCATCTTTGAATACTCTCAGGTTCATCGTGTTTACCCCCATTTAGCAATGAAGTTCTCAACTAGCACTGGGATGATAGTCATCGTGCGTAATGACTAAAGGACAACTCCATAATGTTATGTCACAAGCCTAAAACTGTCACCACCAACAAGCACACGGGCCAACACCCAGTCCCGGGCACTGACAAAGATGCCCAGGCGAAACCTAGAGAGGAAATCGTCTATGTCCAAGTAGGGAATAAAGATCATAATACATACATGGGGACGAAATTAGAAGAGGATGCACGGATAGTAAGGCAAGCGTTGGATGAAAACGCCGACCTATTCGAATGCACCACCGCTGACATGTCGCGCATTGACCCTTGGGTAATGTCCCACCGCCTTGTCGTATGCCACGGTGCGAAGCCAATTGGCCACAAAAAATGAAGGATGTGGGAGGAGCGCCGACAATTAGTGCGGGACAAAGTGAGCAAGCTATTAGAAGCCAACTTCATTCGAGAAGCCCAATATACAACATGGTTGGCAAATGTGGTAATGGTAAAGAAGCCTAATGGGAAATGGCGCATGTGCATTGACTACACCGACCTCAACAAGGCATGCCCAAAATAAGCATACCCATTGTCAAACATTGAACGACCGGTAGATGGGGTAGCCGACCACCATGTGCTTAGCTTTTTGGACGCCTACTTAGGCTACAACTAGATACCCATGCACCCGGAAGACAAATTAAAAATGACCTTCATGACCGAATTGACAAATTTCTACTCTGAGGTTTTGTTATTCAGATTAAAGAATGTTGGAGCTACTTACCAGCGCCTAATAGATAAAATGTTCCAAGGGCAAATTGACCGCAACATGGAAATCTATGTAGATGATAGGGTGGTAAAGTCACATAGCGGTAGGCAGCACGTCTTGGACCTACAAGAGATATTTAAGGTACTAAGATCGTTCAACATGAGGCTGAAGCCAGAAAAATGCGTGTTCGAGGTCGAAGGGGGAAAATTCGTAGGATTCATGCTCACGCACAGAGGAATAAAGGCAAACCCCGACAAGTGTCAGGCTGTCATCACATTAAGAAGCCTTACAAATGTAAAGGAAGTTCAGAGTTTGATTGGAAGAATCACGACCATGGCGTGTTTCCTCTTGAGGTTACTTGAGAAGGTACAACCCATCTTGAAGGTGATAAAAAAGGCTCAAAGGTTTGCATGGGATAATGTGGTTGAAACGGCTTTCAACAAACTAAAAGAATACTTGACATCTTCATCAATTTTGTAGAAGCCGAGACCAGAAAAGCCATTATTAGTATACCTCGTCGTGTTCGAAGAGGCCATAAGTGCAGTTCTCGTCCAAGAAAATGAAAAAGGGGAAGAACCCATATATTATGTCATCAAAATACTTTGAGAGGTAGAGACGCGACCAACAAATTGAAAAAGTGGCATTAGAATTAGTGACCAACTCAGTGCATAAGAGCATACTTGCAAAGTCACTTGGCAGTTGTCAAGAGAGATTACCCTATAGCCAAAGTCCTACAAAAGCCAGAGTTACCCTATAAGCAGGCCATCGGATGGTGAATCACAGTGTCATGAGGTAGAGGAGCTTCCTTACTGGACGACGCTCTTCCGAGAATACATTGTCAACGATAAAGAGCCAACCAACCCCGATGAAGCGAGAATCTTTCGGAGGAAGGTGACCAAGTTCGTTCTCATAGATGGGGAGTTGTTCAAAAGAGGGTTATCGACACCTTTGTTGAAGTGCATTCCAATGTCGCAAGCCGAGTACGTAATGGAAGAATTACACAAGGGGATATGCAGACTGCATTCCGGTGGATGAACAATGGTCGTTAGAGTCTTAAGAGCAGGATACTAACGACCAACATTGAGGGTTGATTGCTAGAGGTACATCCAGTGGTGTCATGAGTGCCAAATCCATGGACCAGCTATACACTCGCATCCCGAACCATTGCAAGCTATCGTAGCCAACTGGCCGTTCGCGACGTGGGGCATGGACATAGTCGGCCATTTCCCTCCAACACAAGGACAATGTAAGTTCTTATTAGTAGCGCTCAACTACTTCAACAAATGGATAAAAGCCTAGCCCCTTAACAAGATAACTGCCAAATAGGTCCAGCATTTTGTGTGGCGAAATATAGCTTGTAGGTTTGGGGTTCCTTACGTCATTGTCACGGACAACGACAAATAGTTTGTAGACAAAGGTTTAGCCAAATTCTATACGAATTTACATATTACTCATAAGGTTAGTTCCGTCAAACACCCCCAAACCAACAGGCAAGTCGAATTGGCGAATAAAGTAATCCTGCTCAAACTAAAGAAAAGGCTAGGGGCAACAAAAGGAAAGTGGGCCGAGGAGGTCACAGAAGTGTTGTGGGCGCACCGTTGCACCCCTTAATCTTCAACGGGAGAGACCCTGTACAATCTTACGTATGGAACGGACTCCATGATCCCGGTCATGATTGGGATAGAATCCTTGCGACGGAAACTATTCGACCTAGCAGCAAATGAACAAAGTATGAAGGTGAAGTTGGATTTGGTCGAAGAAAAAATAAGTTGGGTGGCTATCCGAGAAGTAGCGTCCAAGTAGCGGATGACATGATGATACAATTTCAAGGTGCGACCCAAAAGTTTTTGGGAGGGAGATCTTTGCGCTGTTTA